ATGTTGGGCAGTCTGTAGGGCATCTGTAGGACAATCTTTAGAATCTGTGGGCAATCTGTTGGGCAATCTGTTGGGCAGTCTGTAGGAGTTGGGCAATCTGTTGGGCAGTCTGTAGGACAATCTGTTGGGCAATCTGTTGGGCAATCTGTAGGGCAATCTGTTGGGCAATCTGTAGGGCAATCTGTAGGGCAATCTGTTGGGCAGTCTGTAGGGCAATCTGTAGGGCAGTCTGTAGGGCAGTCTGTAGGGCAATCTGTTTGGCAATCTGTTGGGCAATCTGTTGGGCAATCTCTGGAATAAGGATTTCTTTTAAATGGACACTTTTATTCAAGAATAATTCCTCCATTCTGATTTTTAGGAACCGAAAGAGTCATGAAGGAAAAAACTAATAAAAAATTAAAAAATGTAAACATATTTGGTTGTTAAAGAACTGAATTAAATGTAAATTAAATTGACGTCTATTAAACATATTAAAGACTAAATAAAACTATTGTTGAATGTTTGTGGCACAAACTGTTTTCTCCATTGACGCCTGCCCCGAGTTAGCTTAAAAGAATAATGGTAACTAATAATGATGTAATGAACTGAACCAGCTAAATGTTCTCCACTCGGTTTCAATGAAACCAGTCTGGACCAACTCTTTAAAAGTGTTAGCTAACTTTAGCAGTTAGCTGATTGATTCCATACATTGTCGCTAATCTGACAGCTAGCTACTGTTGTGTTAGCTGAGCCTGCTAACTTAATGAAACACATTAATTATCTGTATTAGCTAAATGCTACATTTGTGCTTCACACTCTAGCTGGCGCTAATGTGGCAGTGTTTGTGTTAGTGAGCTAAAACAGTTTATTATAAAACTACAGCTGGTTTGTAAAGTAATAGCTGAAGCTGCTCTGTTAGCATTAACTAGCATCATCAATCAACAGTAATCATTTATCTCTGTTAGCAATATGCTGCAGTTTTATTTTGACTTGATATGATTTATATTGCTGTTGAAGTATGGAGCCTCTGAAGTCCCAACAGGAGCGATTATCTTGTGTTTTTATGTTGAATAATATTTAATTAGAGCATAAAACATAACTGTACGACTGCTTTCTTTCTTTTCTGCTCAGATTTCAGATTTAAAAGTGTAAATGTGAATCAAACACTGTGAATGAAGCTCACTGACAACTGTCGTCCATCAAAGTTGACCAAATAAGTTGCCGATGTGTTTAGAAGCAAAAAAATCCTCTCTCTATATCTCAAACACACACACGTACAGTACCACATCGTACAGGTAATCGTACAGGTAATCGTACAGGTGATCGTACAGGTGATCGTACAGGTGATCGTACAGGTGATCGTACAGGTAACAAGGTTGTTTTTTTTACTGCTAAGTTTAAGTACAGGCACTATAGAGTGAAGCATTGTGGGTTTGTTTGTTTTAGTTAGCAGCTTTTATAAATTCAGTGCTGAACGCCTGAACCTTGTGACAATGTTTTTTATGATGATTAAAAGTTTTAACACTTAAAGCAGAAGATGAGATGATGTGGAAATACACACACACACACACACACACACACACACACACACACTGAGCTCAGTTGTATTAATGAAGCCTGTTTATAATAATAAAGATCTTCCTGATAAAGTTTGAGTCACTGCTGCCACTGAGCTACACGTAAAGTAAAAACCTTAAATCAAGAACAAGTGGCTCGTTTACGGAAGCAAAAAAAGGCCATAATACTTTAAATTAAACCACAGCAACCACTACTGGACCATATTTCACTCTGTAAACCATCAGTAGGTTCAGAGAGTAGAAAATTAAACGTTTTGCAGTTTTAAATGTTTTATTTTCTTATTTTAAAAAAAATTGCTTCTAATTTTTTTAATTAATTTAAAAACGTATAATTGACCCTTAGCCCCGCCCCTTATTGCCCTTTTCTCCAATAACTGTACGTACACATGCTAAGTGCTAGGCTAATCTACAACAGTGATATATAGCCACATCTTAAAGCTAACTAGCTAGCTAATCTACATCAGTCGTTAGTAAACAAATTACATCTGAAATGTTTGGAAATGTGAGCTGACCAGCTATTTAAACTACGTTAATCAATAGCTAGCTGGTAAGGTAGCACCAGAGCCCGTCTACAGAGAGCCTGGCCTCTCTCTATTAAGTCCCAATGTACTGAACACTGGTTGCAGTTCCAGCAGAGCTCCACTGGGGGCGCCCTCCCAGCAGTGCAGAATGAATGGGAGCAGATGGAGCTAGACGGCTACATTTGTCTCTTTCACCTGATTGTGGTTGAGAAATCTCAGATGTGATTGTAGTTTTTAAAGTTCAACATGGGTTATAGGTCGAAAGCTGAATGAACGAGTTCTGATGTCCTTTAGATTTCTTACAGGACGAGTTGTTGTTGCCCATAACGCGCTAGCATTCTGCTAATGAACGCTGATTGGTCAGTGAAGGACTGATTACGACCAGAGATCCCACTCGATGGCATCGTGGCATCCGAAGCCCGACCACAATGTTAAGGCGGATTTTTTCGCCCAAGTTCTTTTTTTTAACACAGAAACTTTTTTGTGTTGCTGGTACTTTTATCTGCCTATCGTTACGTCTGTGTCGTCGATGCCTCGAGAGAAAAGGAAGCACAAAGAGACTCGAGGCTCGCCGTAAAGCGGTATCTCTGGCCGTACGATGTGTGTGACGTCACTGACATTTTAAAAGACTTTTTAAAGAAAATAAGTGACTCTAAAGAATCTAACACCCAGCAGTGTGTAATGTCTTTGCCTTTCGAATGCAACATTCAAATTACTAGACAAACACTGATATCCTGAGAGAAGAGGACTGTGAGGGTACAGCTCCATAGAGCTCCATTCATTCTGCTCTCATCCTGTGAGCGCCCTCACATGGAGCCAGAGGGGAACTGCTTTACTGAGAGTGGAAGTTCTTATCATTATTAGACGTTCTCTGATAGCACTTTAAGAAATATACCGTCACGTCTTCGGTTAGCGAACGAGCTAACTTATGATTGACGTAGATTAGCTAAGGTAGCTTACCTTAGTCTAGTTTAAACCTTTAATATTAAATGATCTAAAAACCCAAAGTGCAGAATTCAGACGACGTAAATTCAGTCAAATATTAAAATGCTACAAATAAATCAACATTCAGTAGAGGTTAAAGTTCACAGTTAGCTCGTACGCTAGCTGTTTCTTACGGCCTGTTTTTGCTTCCGTACGTGTTTCTGAGCAACAAACACTAAAATAATAATAATTTAGTGTTAAGTGAATGTTAATCGTATGAATGTGACAACAACAGCTCTACTAGCTAACGAGTTAGCATCTGTAATACTAGTTAATACTGCTGCTCGTACAGCAGTTAGCATCTGAAGGCTATCAGTATAGATATAGGCACAGGTAGAGGAACTGCAGGTGTGTGACACTGACGATGACATCACTTCCTCCTGGAATGCTTGGAGCAGGAAGTGTCGGGTGTGTGTGTGTGTGTCAGTCGCTCAGGTAGGTGTGGATGTAGATCTGTTGTTGGATCCAGGGGGTGAAGTGCGTCACGTTGCTGTACACGCCGGGTCCGAGCACTTTACTGAAGCACACGCTGCCCCACGACGTCAGGCCGAACAGCGTCCAGCGACCGCCGCCGTCCTCCTGCTCGCACACCAACGGGCCGCCGCTGTCGCCCTGGAAACGCAAATACACACAATATTATAAAAGTTAATTATAAGAAAATCATATTTTTACTTTTAATGATAATTTATCGAGGAAAAATAGTAAATATTTGCTTGTTGTTTCGGATCAATCAATGTTTATCTTATATTTATTTATCTTATCAAAGAACTTTACAATCAATTTACAAAATATAGGATCTAAAACTGATAAGATTAAAAATTAAAGTACAGCAAAAGAGCCAAAAAAGCAAAAAATATAAAGTTTAAATTAATTAATAAGAGTAGTTAAAGTAAAAAAAGATGATACAAGCAATAAAAATAACAATAAAGAAAATTATGCAACCAAAAATAAATAAATGGATTGTTGTAAAACAGTAAAACGTTTAAATAAAATGGATTAAAATAATGATGCTAATAAATAAAAAACACAGTTTCAGACATCTAATGATGCTAATAAATAAAAAACACAGTTTCAGACATCTAACCAAGAACACATTGACTCCTTTAGCTAAAATGCTAACTCCGCTCCGGGTTCAGCACTTAACATAATAAAATAAATAATAATAAATAAATAATACATAATTTTATGTTTTTATTATTTATCCTTAATAAAACTATAAAATTATAAAAACTGAAAAGAAAACATCAAGGTTGGACTACAACAAGACGAATCCAGCTTTCTATTAACGTAATAATTAATGAAACTTTGATTTCCATCAACCAGCTGCGGGTGCAGACGTTACCATGCAGGAGTCCACGGTTCCGGCGTCGTAACCGGCGCAAAGCATCCTGGGAGTGATGGTCTTCATGTCGAAGTAAGACTGACACTGAGACAGCGAGATGATCCGAACCTCCCCTTCCTGCAGCTTAAAGGGCACTGGACCAGAAACCACAGGAACAGTCAGTGGTTAATGGTTATATATATATCAGATTATGGACTTTAATACAACAACAAATAAAAACAGTTTGATTCTGGTTCTGTCCACTTTAATGAAGTTACGATGATCTGAAGGTAAAATGAGTGTTTGTGTCTCTGGAGTCTGGTGGAGAGTGATCGTGATATTACGGCTGTTTGTGGACTGTTAGTGGACGAACGCTGACGGACAAATTCGTACCTGAGGATCAACGTTAGCTTACATTGCAGCACTTTTACGACACATTTTCTGACCTACGCCGGTGAATTAAGGATTTATTTCCACCAAACCAGAGTCGGTGATTGCTGGAAACCCTAACAGAGACGCTTTTAATGAGTTTTATTCTGTTTCTGTCCACTATAAATGTTACAGTAATGTGAGATAAAATCACAGTTTTTGTGTATGGAGTCTGGTGGTAAACCATGT